GGCCCCCAGGATGATGCCACACTGTAAGATGGAGAGAAAAATACACGTTTGCAAAACCAGACCTTCTTCAAGTCTCCACTTCATACATCCACAGCACGAGGGGCTCCTGTAGGCCCTCACTGCTCCGTCTGTGACCTCCTGTGGATGGCACCTGAAAATGATGTTTCCATAAAACCGAAGCAGGAACACTGAGTGTCGTTTTAAAGTGGCCTGTTAGTCCTAGGTCTACTGGGTGAGGCCATCAGCTAGCACCCCACGTTCCCTACACCCACCTCATCTTTAGCTACCTTTCTCAGTAGCCCTATGGAAACATGGTCTAGAAAGATTAGGAGTGATGTATGCCTTCCTTATAAACAGATGATGATCACATGATCCTGTGACTACTCTTAGGTCTTTCCCCAACAGAAATGAAATATTTATGCACAAACCTGGACATTTACAGTGGGTTCAGCCATAACCCCCAAACAAGAAAGCAACCCAATGGCCTTCAAAGGTGACTAGAAAAACAACTGTAGTCCAACCATGCAAAGAAATATTATTCAGTATTAAGGTTTAGAACTCCCAACCTTTCAATGGCACAATGCACCATGCTGTAGGAAGGAAGGGGCCATGAAGGCAGCATACTGTGTGTTGCCACATTCATAGAAAAGACTAGTTGTGGGGCCAGGCAATATGTCGGACGGCTGAGGGAGGGAGAACTGTTTACTGCAGAGGGGCAGAGGAGACCTTTGGTATAAAAGAACTCTCTATTCCATGTCCTGACCACAGTAGCAACACAATTGTATACGCATGTCAAAACCCAAGGAACCACACCCTAAAATGGGTGCATTTTATTTCAAGAAAACAGCCCCTCAATAACTCTGACATTTAAGGCATCAGTGATTTTGGCAAGGCATGATGATCCACAGACTTTTTGTTTTTTTGTTTTGTTTTTTTTTCTGAGACAGGGTTTCTCTGTGTTTTTTTTTATTTTTATTTTTTTATTTTTTTTTTATTTATTTATTTTTTTTTTTTTGGTGCCTAACCTGGATCTTGCTTTGTAAACCAGGATGGCTTCGAACTCACAGAGATCCTCCTTACTCTGCCTCCCAAGTGCTGGGATTAAAGGCGAGCACCACCACAGTCTTAATCCCAGTACTCAGAACACAAAGGCAGGTGCATCTCTGTGGGTTCAAGACCATCCTGATCTATATAACAAGTTCCAGGGCTATACAGTGAAAGCCTGTCTCAAAAAAAAAAAAAAAAAAAGCCAGGCGGTAGTGGCATAAGCCTTTAATCCCAGCACTCAGGAGGCAAAGGCAGGAGGATCTCTGTAAGTTTGAGACCAGCCTGGTCTACAAATCAAGTTACAGGACAGCCAGGGTTACCCAGAGAAACCCTGTCTTGACATTTCTTGTATAAGATTAGTGGGACCAGCCTTAATATTATACATCCCAGGGGCTCAGGATAGAGAACTACTAACGGCAAGGACTATTTTCAGGAAATAGAATCTCAGCACACCGAGCTCTATAGTCCACTTGCTTTAATTCTTCTGGCATAACATCCTTTATACACAGCTTCAGTTCTGTTCTCGTGCCTAGCTCCTTTCTTGCCTGATTTCTCTCTATATTTATATACTGCTTCCTCTAAGTTCTATCTTAATTCTCTTGTCTTAACTCTGCCTCATCTAGGTCCTTTTCATCTTGTTCTTACCCAGCTAGTACTTCCCCATCTGACTCTTCCTCATCTTCCATCTCGTTCCTCTGGTACTCTCTTCTAGCCCTACAACCTAGTTCTTCCCCATCTCAGTTTGTTCCTCTCAAGTTCTTACCCGTCTAGTTCTTCCATTCTCTTTCCTCTTCTCCGTCCTGTGCCCTGGAAGTCCCAGTATATAAAGGGAAGGTCCGAGCTAAATTATTACTTAACATCCACCTCTCCTAGGTGGTGTCTCCTTGTGGAATTTTTCCTTAAGTCAGGAGACTCGCCTGTGGGTTGTTATCACTGTTAGTCCTCGGAAGTTGGGTGACCACCTGGGCAGTGTCTCCTTTAGTCCTTGAAAGTAGCTAGGGGAGATATCTGATTCCAGAGAAAGCCTTTCCTGAGGCTGTTCTCCAAATGCCTGGAATGTATATGTCCAGAGAGTGATCAGTCCACACTGTTAGCCCTTCTTAGCGAAAAGTCAATTGGGAAAACTATGAAGGCACACATGATTTTTATAACAGAAGACAGCTGATATATATCAAGCCAAATAACACCAAAAACTCCTTGGGATTTGGCTTCCTCTGGAGGAATTCCCTGATCCTTCCAGGTAGTGACTTTGCCATAACCAGCTGAGTTCTTATGATGTATTCCTGCGGCCTGCAGCAGACGTTAGTGGTTTGAGGATACAGCTCAGCAGTAGGGTATTTGCCTGGGATTCGAGCCTCAGGACTACAAAAGATTAAAAAATAATAAAAGTAAAAATAAACAAAATAAAATATTAGCACCACTAGACCAGTTCAAAATCTGCTACCAAAGGGGAACTGGGAGGAGGGACATGGGGGCTTCCTGTACTTTCTACTCAGTTGGCCATAAAGCTAAAATTACTAAAAATAAACAAACATATCAATATAAAACACAAACCACAAGATATCAAATTCGGGGCTGGAGAAATGGCTCAGCGGTTAACTGCACTGGCTGTTCTTCCAGAGGACCCGGGTTCAATTCCCAGCACCCACATGGCAGCTCACAACTGTCTGTAGCTCCAGTTCTAGGGAATCTGACACTCTCACACCAATGCACATAAAATAAAGTTAAATAAATTTAAAAAAAAGATAACATCAACTTCTTACCAGAATGGTTCAAAGACGCATGATACCAAACACTGCAGAGGACACCTGTGCCAGCAGGCTCCCCACCCCCTCACTCCCTAGATCCCAGGGCAGGGTCTGTGTCTCCCAAAGGAACACTGGCAGGGTCTACACACAACATGCAATATCAACCAGATGCTGATTCCTACACACCGTGATCCCACCTCCGCCAGGTCAGACCGGGCCATACCAAGATCTGGCACAAGCCAGCAGTAGGTGGTAGTCCTCTGGTGAGCAGGAGCAACTGGTAAGTGTGCCAGCACTGGGAGATTCCTCAGTGTACAATAGGGTGCTATATGATCCTTCACTTCATGAAAATTCATCAAGAGGACACTTAAAGTGTATGCAGTTTCTACTCACTGAATCACAATAAAATGTTTCTCTTTTTTAAATTGCCAGGATCACTAAACAAACTAGCACTACACCCGAAGTTTTTTATTGGTACGGCTGCTAAGCACTTGCACACATCCCCCAACACTCCACTGGGTCAGATGGCTCTGCCCCAAGGTCCCTAGAGGGGACACCAGTGACAGGAACTGACAGGCTTTAGGCACATGGTGTGACCGTTTCTAGTTTGCACATTGGGCTCCCCTACTCAATTCCAAGCTCTTCCCAAACAGATCTCCACCTGGCTCATCTTCGCATGCTCTAACAGAGGCCCAGCACCCATGCACAGCAATGTTCCGATCTCGAAACTGCTCAACCACCTGAGCTCAAACATCTGTCTTCCCAGGCATCTACAACAGAGCCCAGTGAAGGGCTCCTCACAGACAGGCAGCAAAGATGACAGGGTTCACACGAGATCTGAAACCAGCCAACACTCCCTATCCCAGGATGCAGTTCTGTTGACAGACAAGTTGCCATGGACACTGGGACACGTAGACACTTCAGAAACACCCAGAAGTGACTGACTCAGTACTGGGGTTCACAACACAGATGTTACCCCCCCCCCCCGAGGGTCTAGCTCTGTCCTGCCTACATTCATCAACCATAGCAGACCCCACACAGGAACCTAGATGCATTCTCAATCAGGATAGTATGCGGAGAATCAAAAATTCCCTAATCAAAAAACTTTTTTTCTATTTTACTCTGTGAAATATAAAACATGCAAAGTGGTTTTTAATCTAATATTAAATTATCAACAACCCACTTTCACTTCCAAAATGTCTTGGGCGTCATCAGGTAGAAGTAGTGGGTCTTTGCCCTGAGGTCTGGCTGTCTCAACAGCAGAGAACAACAGCACACACGGCATGAATAAGTGAGTGGAGAAGGGATGGGGAAGACCCACACTTCTTTTGTTAACAGTCATTACCCAGTTTGATGCTTCCATCGGCTTCCGCAAATCACTGGTAGAGTCAACAGAGCCACGTAGAAATTGCCATCTTTTCATGTGGCATTCAACGTTGGAATAACACCAAACTTTTTTGTATGCCGGTTTTTCCAACTGGGATGGTATATGCACAGATCGGACCAAACGTACAGTGTTTGTGCAACACAGCTCTTAGAAGTAAAACCTAGATAATGCTTTAAATCACCTTGATTAAGCCTTGTAAGTCAGAGCTGAAGACTGCGTGCTTCCGTACAGTTGGTCAGAGTCAGTAACAGGATGAACACTACCAATTCGCTAATTTCTCTTTCACTGTGCCCTTCCTTAGGGTGTTGTGAGTGTTCACGGAGCGCGCAGATTCAGACTACACGCTGCGAGGACGTTGCCTGGGAGCCTCTTCCTGCCCGCTGGGTTCACACACCCTTCCCACCGGCCGAGCACTTCAAACTGACGCCCCTCGCGACCCCGACTCACCTGTTTGAAGCAGAAAGGCATGGTGAGTACGCTGACGCCCACGATGCTGTTTACGACGTTCGTGACTAGCCCCCATTTGGAGGTGGAGGCTGCGGTCATTTTGAGGGTCTGGGGGCCGGGACAGCGCGACCCTAGCTAACCCTAAACTTGGAGCAAGGGGCCCGTGGACCGGCGTCGAGGATGTCAGCCTCCAGACCCTGTCAGGCTACGCAGCCGCCTCACAGCCATGGTTCCAGGTTCCCGCCTCCACCTCGCGGGAGTGGAGCAGAGAGACCCGGAAGAGCCGCAGGCAAAGCTAGCGACACCTCAGCTCCGCTTCGTTGCCTCCGGCACACAAACTTCCGCCTTCCAAGTGTACGCTGCCAGGAAGTGACGGTATCGGGGGCGGGATGAGGCGGGACGCCATCCAACAAGAAGCGGATGTGTCTGCCTGGAGGAGGCGTGGCCTGAGACAGGGCGAGGCGGGACCCTAGCCAATAAGAGGTATGTAGGAGCGGGGCGGTGGGATGTGGTGGGCGGGGCGGTGGGATGTGGTAGGCGGGGTCGGAGTCAGGGCGGGGCCCACACGTCTGTGTTCCTTATTCCACGCTTAGTCTGTGAACGTTTGCTCCTTTTCTGGAGTCTGGAGCCGCTGGAGGACAAGTGACTTTCAGGGTACAGCCTCTAAACTGGAAGAACAGGAGAGAAAAGGAAGCACTAACCTTCGGGTGAGGAGTGGGATTTTGAGGGTTTATTTTCAGGTCTTAGCCCACAGGAAGGATTTTGGGTCGCGATTGGCGGGAACCATAACTTTCTAGATTGAAAGCCAACTTACTGGGACAAAATTGGCATTTATGGGGGTTTTTTGTTTGTTTGTTTTGTTGTTGTTGTTGTTTGTTTGTTTGTTTTCGAGACAGGGTTTCTCTGTGTAGCTTTTGGAGTCTGTCCTGGCCTCGAACTCACAGAGATTCACCTGCCTCTGCATCCGGAGGGCTGGGATTAAAGGCGTGTGCCACCACTGCCGGAAGGCATTTATGTTTTACTAGTGAATCTCCGGGACACCGAGAGGTTCAGAGACCCAGCCAAAGTCACACAGCTTGTAGGAGGGAGCATAGAGATGTGTGTGCTTGGTACCCAAAGCAGCAGGAGAAAATAATCTACTGCCCTAATATGAAAAAAGCAAAGAAAAGGAAGAGGGAGGTCCCAGAGAAAGCTAGGAGGACTTCAAGAGAAGGTGGCTTCTGGACTTGAAGGACTACTGATAATTCTTCCTGGAGTAATGGACGTTAAGGAGATTTAGAGAAGAAAGAAAAGTCCAACACATCAGAGGGTTACTGGCACCTGGCAGTGTCTGTGATAAATGAGAGGACCTGAGATCTGAAAACGACCTCACAATAATTCCAAGTGGCCAGAGGTGTGCACACAAGGAGGAACTACAAGCTGCTTAAATAGGCTCTCCTAGAAAACACGCTTGAGGCCCTTGCAAGACCATGCATCTTAGACAAGGAGCAAATTCTTCAAGCTAGAACAGCCTCTGGGCACAGAGCTGTACTCCCCCTCAGGTGGGAGAGGAAAAACCAGGATAAAGAATAATTGAATACAAGTAAATGTATAATTAAATACAAATAAATGTCTATATTCATTTTTTGTAAGTGAACAAAGATTGTTGCACTTGTCTCCTTAATGTGTGGATGTTAGAGTTTATCTCAGGTTAACACCTAGAAGTGGAATTGCAGATTCAAGTGCATGCATACCTCCCACCTCATTTGGGTCTTGCCCGATTGCTCTTCAAAATCACTAGAAGGCTCCTGATTGGCATCAAAGGTGGTCAAACTTCCGTTAGGAGTTAGGTGGGCGCTGCCTCTCTTCCTCAGCTCAGGAGCAGAGCACTTGCCCTGCGTGCACGAGCCCTAGGTTTGATCCTACAGCTCTGCAATAAGTTCAGCATTGAAATGGACTGCCTTTGGAATGGCCTCCTTGTAAGAGTCATGTGCTTCTCAAACGTTACAGTCTCTGTCACAACTACCTCAGACACTGCCATGAGCAACATATAAACAAGTGGGTGGGTATTCCAATAAAGCTTTATTTATAAAATCAAGACCTTGCCCAGTTTGGCCTTTGGGCTCCAGGCTATGGGCCCCCTGCTCTATATTGTCCCCAACATTTGTTATCAGTTTGGCCAATCTGATGAATCAAACAGAACTTCATTGTTCTTTGAATTTCTCTTTCTAATCATGAGTGGGGTTAATCATCTATTCATATTTTTACCATCTAGTCATTGTTCTTTGGTGAAATGTACGCTCTTTTTTGTTTTCTTTTTAGCAATTTGTTCTTTGGAATTTTGAGTTCTTTTTGTGTGCTTGATAACTAACCCTGTGGCTCTCCACTCTGGTTTGTCTGCTGTCTCCCAACATCCCATTAGGTTTTCATTGTTGCTGTAACAAACGGTCACAAATTCAGTAACTGAGGGGCTGGGGAATGAACTCAGCGAGTAAGTGCTTGCTGCAGTGGTATAGGACCGGAGTTTGGATGGCCGTAGAGACCGGAGATCCCCAGAGCGAGACAGCTAGTTAGACTAGTCAAACCAGCAAACTCTGGGTTCAAGTAAGAGACTGTGTGACTCACCATAAAAGGCAAGGAGAAGGAAGACATCCGATATTAACCACTGGCATGCACACACACACATGTGCACACACCCTCACACAAATGTGCCCACACACATGTGAATATGAATACACACACAATTTCAGCAACTAGTTACAAGGTTATTATCTCTTGATTTGGAAGTTAGAAATAAGTTTAGTGTCACTGAACTAAAATCAAGGTGTTGGCACGATTCATTCCCTCAGAAGCTCAGGGAACAGTCTGGTTCCTTAGGATTTGGGGCCCATTTTCTTGCCAGCTGAAAGCCGAAGGTAGTTACCAGCTCAGGGATCCCTACCACAATCTTCCAAGTTAGCCGCAAAGGGAGGCACAATCAAGTCTCTTTGATGTGACATCTTTGGCTCAGCTGGGGAGTTTTCTGATTACAGGGCCTCATGCGATTATCAGATGACCCATGAGAATCAGCCTGCAGGGCCTAGCACCTCAAATACACATGCAAAGGCTCTCTGTGGGCATGTTCTCACAGGCTCTGGGAATTAAAGGGTGCATAGTTTCCGGGGGCTCTTCTTCTGTAATTGCCCTCATGATATGATTTGTGTCCCTTTCATAGAGGGTTGCTATGTTTTATTAACAGGCTCCTTGTCCACTGGACTCATCCCAGGCTTCCTACCCTCCGGTCTGTAAGGGCCGACCATTGATAAGGAGCCTCTACCTGCACCTCCAGATTCACACACTGAAGTCTTTGTTACCTCAGGATACAACCTTCTTTAGAACTTGGTTCTTTGCAGATGTCATTAGTTAGAATGAGGTCATAAGGTCATTCTGAATTAAGGTGTCCACTATCTGGAGTGTAACTGGTATCTTTAGAAAAACAAGAGGCTTGGGGACTGGGAATAATAATAGCTCAGTTAATACAGTGTTTGCTTTGCAGGCTTGAGGACTGAGCTCAGTCTCTAGCAACATTGTAAAAAAGTTATTGGAGTGTGGGGGTGGCAGAGAGAAGATCCCTGGGATTTAAATCAGTGAGCTACAGGTTCAATGAGAGACCCTGTTGGGGGACATTCGATCACACTGTGAACCCCGAGTTCGCATTTGCATTAATTAAATAAAATTAACCTTGGGTCAGGAGGCTGAGTGAGCAACTAGTTGACAGAAAGTAATCATAGAGCATCAGAGGGCATCCGGGAGAAATAGAGAGATGCACAGGAAGTAGCAGGGAGGGATTTGGAGTTGTGGCTCTTTCTGGTTTGGCAGAGCAGAAGCAGGGATCTTTCTGAGATGCCAGCAAGGAGAAGGGGTTAGCTATTTGCTACTCAGCCTCTCTGAGCTTGCAGGTTTTCACCCCAGCCTTTGAATCTCGAGTCTTAGTTATAATTAGAACGATAGAGATTTAGTTAAAGCTGCCTTTGGCGGCAGTGACAGGATGGTGGCTGTAGCCTGCGCGGCCTGGCCACTGCTAGAGAAGCAGGCTGGTGGCTGAGTTGCGATTGCCTGAAATAGCAGTAGATTGAGGCTCAGCCACTTGTGCCACAGTTAAAACAAGATCCTGTCTTGAAAAACAAGGAGGGGCTGGATCAATGGCTCAGAGATTAGGAACACTGATTGGTCTTCCAAAGGACCCAGGTTCAGTTCCCAACCCACGTGGTAACTCACGACCATGTGTAACAGCAGTTCTAAGGGATCCAGCACCTCTCTGGCCTCTGTGGGCACTACAAACATGGCACAGGAAAAACATCCAGAAGCAAAGTTAACTTTTTTTTAAGGTGGATGGCTCCTGAGGAATGATATTTAAAGCTGACATCTGACCTCCACACATGTATGCTCACACGTGCACACCCCTGTACACACACGAACACACACTGAATGAATGAGTAAATAAACAGGGACTGGGTCAATGGCTCAACAAGTAAGAGCACTTGTTACCTAAGCATGAGAACTAGAGTTCAAGTCCCCAGTACACATAAAAAGCCAAGCATGGCTGCACATGCCTTTTGTCTCAGGCTCCCAGCTCACATGGCTGTGCATGTGTACATGCAAGGCTCCCACAGTCATCAGCATCTGTCACAGCCTTCCTGTTAAGTCACCTGACCACCATGTCATCCCTTCTGCTCCTCCAGAGCTCTCCTGTGCATTCACCCTTTCCCCAACTTGGCTTCATCCCCAATGACCAGACCACTTAACCGCAAACCAGTAGACACTCTTAATGCACCCAAGTTCACAACACCCACATATTCGCCAGAGACACCCACAGAAAGCAAGAAGCAAGCATTGGCAGGGAGAGAGCCCTAAGCTTGAGACCTGGGGCCCCGAAGGTTGGGAGAGGCCTTCCCCTTCAGATTCTGGGGGACCTTGCCATTAGGCCTCTGCTTCTTAGATAAGAAAGGAAAAAGCTTGTCAGTCTGGGCTCCTTCACTGAGCAGCACCAGGACACAGGTACAAGAGGATTTCAAGATAAAAATGTCTTCCCAGGAGAAGGGCAAGTGTCATCTGCAGGGGAACCCAGCGAATGCTCCACTGTCCAGGTGGAAGGGGAGAGGACAGCCAGGCAGTAGGGCAGGCGTGGTCCTATGAGGAAGACCTGACCCGCAGAACCAGAAAGGTAGGGTGGGTTTCAGTGAGGACTTTTCAGCTACCCCTGGCTCTTCCTCCATTCCTCTTTTGTGCTGTCCGGAGAGCAGATGTGATGTTTGGGGTTCTCAGAGCCTCTGTGGAATCCTCTTTGACTTCATTGTCATTTCTACCCCCTCATCCAGAAGCAATGGGAAACCCTGGTTATCACATCTTCAGAGTCCATTACCTCTGCTGTGATGCCATCTCTGGATCTGGGCTATCATTGCTGTCATACACTTTTGATCTTAAATGACCCCACAAAGGTCCAGCTGTGTACTGAAGGTCATGCATGGGGCTAACAGAAGGCAGGAACCTTTAGGAGGTGGAGCCTAATGTGAGGAAGTTAGGTTGTTGTGGGTGTGCCATTAAAGGAAAGAACCCCTTCTTTTCCTCCCCACGTCTCTCTTTGCATCCTAACAACCATGAGGTTGAATAGGTCTCCTCTACCAGGCACTCCCACCATGATTGACTTTACCCCATAATGCCAAGGCAACAAAGCCAAGTGACCATGGGCTGAACCTCCGATACCAGGAGCCAAAAATAAGCCTTTTGGGTTGATAATCTAGGATACACTGCATAGTCATGGGACACTGACCAGCATAGTCCCTCTCTCTAGGACTGCGTCTCTACAGTACTATCCTCACTTCGCTGGGCCTCCTCCACTCACCACGCAGAAGCCAGCGTTAGTCTCCATCCTTATCATCCCCTAGCCAGGTCCCTGCGGGTGACCTGCACAGTCCAGAGTCTGCCCCAAGATGTCCCCAGCATCCTCTCCTGCCTTAACCCACCTCCTCCTCACTTGTACTGGTGTGCCCTTCTTGGGAAGGTGCTCTAAACCACACAGGTCACGATTCTAAAGTCCCCATCCCTGTAGGCCACCTGCGTTTAACCTTGCCCTAAACTGAGCAGATTTCCAGTGACTTGGCTGCTGCCGTATGCAGGTTCTCACTGACTGTGCCCTGTGCTTTAGAAAGGAGAGGACAGGATGAACATATCTTTAAACATTCAGACTTCATCCGGCTGGGCTGGGGCAAAGCCTGGGACCTTGGGGCCCAACTATGTAGGCCTCCAAATGAAGTGGAACCTGGACCCTAAACAGCCTCCCCCGGAGTGGTCTTAAGGTTCAAGCCCTTGCCACTCCCAGAGGGTGGAAGGTTGCCATGTGCCAGCAGATGCATATCTTTGTCTTTCCAAGTGGGGCCTGAGGGTGGTGGCCTACCCCCACTCCTACCCAGAAAGCCACACAGGGAAAGCCTGACAGTGTGACCTTTGCCAATGTCCCCTGCTCAGACAAAGGCTGCAGATTATAATCTTGGCCACCAGGAGGAAATATCCCCTGAACCTTCCATTATCATGCTGTAATTAGTGGGGGCCATTGAGAATTCGACAAGATGGAAAACCTGCTTTCATCTACATTTTTTCCCCTCCTTTTCTTAAAATTCCAGATGAGAGAAAGGAATAGGCTTGGTCTCAGTGTAGGAAGCCTGCTGTCTGCTCATTGGACATAGAGATACAACATGGTAAGTACACACAGCTGCCTGAGATTCTCCCAGACAGTCCTGATGAGAAGGGGTGCCATCTCAGCCCTCACTCCCCAGCAAATTCACATGCCATGTGTCTTGAGACAGAGCCTCACAAGCACAGGGACAGAAAGGACAGCATATTCTCCTCCTGATACCCTCAGTAAGGAACAACCCTGGCCCAGAAATACCGCCTCCAGCACAGGCCTCAGTCCTCCCTACGTTAGGGCTGCAAGCTGGAGGCAGCTGGGTCACCTTAGCCCAGCCTCAGCCTAGGAGCTTGAGGTGTTGCCGGGGCTGAGATCCAGCATGCACTCAGCTTCCCGTGTTCCCGACCCGGGGACCCTGTGGCCAAGGAGCGCCAGGGAGGAAACATCACAAAACTCAGAACTGAGACTTCCTACCCCTCTAACTGTACCACAGATAGTAGGGGTGAGGTAAAGGGCAGAGGGATCAAAAAGCAGTAGTGGCCCCCCCACAAACATCCCCAGGAGTGCCAGGGAGAGGTGTCCCCCAAGAGCTCTGGCCATGGATAGAAACAGTGCTGCATTTCAGAAGGGACAGAGTACCAAGCCTTCCATGCCTTGCTCAGGGCTTCCTGAGATGTGGGTGGAAAAGGCCTGGGGTCTCTACTCACTCCCTCTTTTTCCCCCATGGTGCTTTGGGATACAACCCAAGGGTCTTCATGTGCTAGGTACCTTCTTTACACTGAACTCTATTCCAGACCTTGAAAGAGTCATTCTGCTGAGTTCTGGCTTGCCCCATCGACAGACCAAAAGCAAAGGTCTCTCCTGTCTCCCACAGAACTGTGCCCCAGTCAGGACTCATCTAGAAAACATGAGTCCTATAGCTCCAGGGAAGGGATGACCTTATGGTACAGGGTGGCTAGACCTCAGAGAGTCCCGCCTTACGAGGGAATTCCTGAATGCTTGCTGGATCCCTTTTATAGAAGCTTCTGGTGTCAAACCCCCAGGCCTCCTCCAGGTGCCCCTTCACTGTTAGGTTGAGAGACGGGGCCATGTTGGGGGTCCAAGGATCAAGTAGACACAGCTGAGAGTCCTGGGGCACAGTTGGGCTGCATCCAGATCCCCATGCATCAGCAACTGCAACCCTGAGCTCCCTGCACCTCCCTGTGCTCTCAAAGGTGGCTGGCTACACAGTGGCCCCAGGGAGGTATGCAGGAATGTAGCAGGCCCAGGCCCAGCTCCTTCCCCTCCCCAGCTGTGCCAAGGACCACGCAGACAGGGCTGGTGTGAAAGCCTGTAACAGGCAAGGAGAGGCCGGAACAACAGGGCTCCAATAGGCGTACACTGGGGACAGGGCTGGAGTGGACACGGGGAGGTGGCCTGCATGAAGGCAGAGCCTGGGCAAGAAGAGAACAGGGGTTGGTGGGTCATGGACCCCTGAGCATAGAGGACAGCTCCTTGAAGGAGAACCCCAGGCCCTAGGGAGATGTGCTAAGTGTGACACCTCCCATGCCTGGGAATGATAGTGTCAATTTGGGTATTGTGTTCAAACCTATAATCCTAGCAGCCTTAGGGAGGTGGAGAGATCAAAAGTTCAAGGCCAGCCTTGGCTACATGAGACCCTGTTTTGATTTTTTGTCCTTCCTTGGCTTTTTGTTTGTTTGGTTGGTTGGTTGGTTTTTTCTTAAACAGTATGATCCCAGTATATGAAAACCACAGAGAGCTGCTAAAGGAGAAATGAGATCCCACATTCCAGAATTCTCCTTGAGAAAAATTAGGGCTCCTGCCGGCAGAAGAGGCTCAGCCAGGGTCTGCACGGGCCAAGCTCTTTCCCTCCCGTTAGCTACTTAATAGCTTTTTAAAAAAATTATTTATTTTTATTTTATGAACGTTGGTTGGTGTTTTGCCTGTATGTATGCCTGTGTGAAGGTGCCAGATCCTCACACAGGATGTAAACTGCCATGTGGGTGCTAGAAATTGAACCCTGGACCTTGGAAGAGCAGCCAGTGCCCTTAACCGCTGAGCCGTCTCTCCAGACCCAAGCTTTCTGCTGGGCAGTGGTGGTGGTACACACCTTTAATCCCAGCACTCAGGAGGCAGAGGCAGGCAGATGTCTGACTTTGAGGCCATCCTGGTCTACAGAGCAAATTCCAGACAGCCAGGGCTGAGAAACAAAAAAAAAAAAAAAAAAAGAAGGAAAAAAAAATAAATAAATCAGAGCCTCCAATCAAAGATTGCCTTTTTCTCAGGAGTAACCTGGAGCTACCTCCTTCAGAAAAGAGGGGGGCAAGGATCCATCCACCCCTCTTGACGGGCAGGGGCCCAGTCTGCATGACCGAGACCTCTGAGTTCAAGAAATGAAAACTTCCCTTGTATCATTTCTTTCTTCAGTACCCTCACAGGCTGAGAGGGCAATCCTAGATCCTGTCCCTGTCTCTGCAGGTGACCATGACATAAAGCCAGGTGCTACCAAGAAGAAAACACCCCTGAACAAATACATGCTGCAGAGCAGCGTGTGCTGTGTAGTCTGTAATCCCTGCAGTCGGGAGCGGAGACCGGGTGTGGGGAGGTGGGGGGTGTCCATAAACATTCAAAGCCAGCCTGGGCTACCAAGCAAAACCCCGACTAAAAAAAAAATTTAGGGGGGCTGGAGAGATGGCTCAGTGGTTAAGAGCACTGGCTACTCTTCCAGAGGACCAGGGTTCAATTCCCAGCACCCACATGCAGCTCACAACTGTCTGTAATTTCAGTTCTAGGGGACCCAACACCCTGACACAGACATACATGCAGGTAAAGCCCCAATGTACTAAAAACAAAAGTAAATTTTTTAAAAAACATTTTTAAAGAAAACATGCCATGAGGGCCACCACAGATGCTTTATCATGTCCCATGTCAGAGGTGACCTCTGCACCCAGCAGTCAGTTCTTGTCCCTGGAAGGAGCCAGGGCAGGAATTTCCTCGAGAGAGGAGCCCTCAGACTTTGACAGGGTGGGGCAGGAGTGAGGGTTTGTGAACAAAGACCAGGTGAGGACATAAATCAGCTGCCCTATCACATTTCCTGCCCTGAAAGCTCCTGTAAAACACAAGAGAAAATTGACCTGTCAGGGGGATAGATGGGCAGCGCCCGCACTACCTCCAGGGTGGCTTCCAGTCACCCTGAGGTCCCACCGGCACCGTATGCCCCCACACTGAGCAGACTGCCACTGCCCAGCAACACTAGGGAGAAGTGGCATGGCCCAGGCAGCCTGGGAGGCTTGGCTCCCTACCCTCACCCCTCCACCCACCCCTGGAAGACAGGCCCAGCTGCTGAGCCTGAAAGCTGTAAACCGGATGGAGACCAGGCATGGTGTCAGGAGACAGCTAGAGTGCCTTTTAAAAAATGTAATCTCTTTTTATTTCCCCCTCTCTGCCCTCCCTCCCTCCAGACCATAACCTCCAGTCACTCCTCCCCTCTTCCTGTGCTGCTGGAGGTGACCTTGGTGCCAGGACCTTAGTGTGCAGCCGCTAGAGCCAGCAAGGACACCCTTCTCACCTTGAATATCTGTGTTGGGAGCCTGCTCACGGTGTGGGAAGAGAAGGTGGCAGGCTGTGGTGTGGCCAGAAACTGCCCCCTCCAAAGTGACCCACCACCGACAGCTGCCCAGTTTGAGGGTCTGGAAACCTAGGATGGAGCCCTGGAGGCTTGAGGTGAAGTGCAGGGGCCTCCTGCAACCCACTCCTCTGGACAATGGAGGCCGACACCTCTGGACTCCAGGAGCTCGGCCAAGCTGGGCCTGACCTCTTGCGAACTGCTTTCAATGCAATCCAGCTGTTTGCTGCCAGCCCATCTCATGGTAGAGAAAAGGCAGCCAGGCAGCTCTGGAGGTTGCCCGTGGCCAGCTAGTGGACAACCAGGCTGGGCTGGGATCTTGTTAGTATCTGTTTGTGTCCCTCACAAACTCCTGGGGTCTCCGTGCTCCCCAGCTGTGAGCTGTCTAGCTGATCCCTTTAGCCACTGGGCCACAGCCACAGTGCCCCCAAGGCCTGAGGGTCACCACCTCTCACACTCTAGGGGGCCAGGTGAATGTTCTCTGTGGTGACAAAAACCAAGAGAAGGGAAGAGAACCTTAACTTAGCAGCCCGGGCTTCCCTCAGGACCAGAGATGAAGGAGATGCTATATGGGACTAGTCTCAGAAAGGTGCTGGATGCAGCAAAGCTCCCAGACTTTGGAAGCCAGTTTATTAGAGGAGAGGACCGTGACCTCCCAGGAGAGAGGAGCTCATGATCTCCCAGGCAGGTATTGGTGGCCAAAGCAACAGACCATGGAGACCATGTGGCTAGGGAAAGGTTTAGAGAGGGTTGAAGATCTACCAAGAGACACAGGCAGATGAGAACTCGAGACACGGAAGCTGGGCAGAACCAAAAGGGGAGGCAGTGATTGTGCCGCCTGAGCCAGCCTGGTTTCCCTCCCAGATGAGGAAGTCATGACAGAAACCCGTGTGTGGACGGTGAGTCTCCAAGACTCAAGGACACAGCTGCCCAGACCTCCTCTCCATCCTGTCTTCTGAACCCTGCATGTCTGGATAAGGAGGGCTCTGGAACCAGCCTGGGACCTGGGGCTTGGAATATAGGCCATTGAGGGTATAGTCCAGTCTCCTGGGAGAGCAGTACCAGAGACTGCCCAGCCTCCAAGCAGGGAGCTGAGGTGTGTCCTTCTCAGGGCTCAGCTAGACAGAGTTCCCGCCAGGTGTGAGCCTGGACTCAGATCTGCAGGTGATTACTAGGGACCACACACACCACTGTCTCATTCCTACGTCCCTCAGCCAAGAATAAGAGGCACCTCCAAACACAGGCTCTCTCAGTAGCTGCTCTGAGGTCTGATTGGTCTAGCTGTTAGCACATGCCCAAGGTATGCTGGCACAGCCATAGGCTCCCAGCCTTTCCAGTCATGTCCCCTAACTACTAACCTACAAGGTCCCCAGAGGTCCAGGTTTTGACACCTCATCCCTAGTATTCCCAGCTTCCCCTGCTGAGGTCTCTGGGACCCTAAAACA